CATGGCTCGATTGATTGCAAAAGGTTTCGTACAAACACGGAATTGATTATGAAGACACATTCAGCCCTGTTGCACGATAAGAAAACAATTGAGTTTGTTGGCGGCGGCTGCAGCATTTGGTATGAAGCTCTCTCAATTTGATGTCAAAACTTCTTTTTTGAACGGGATGCTTGAAGAAGACATGTATATGAAATAACCTGAGGGTTTTGACGACAATAATGAACGAGTGTTACGTGAAGAAAAGTTTGTATGGCCTGAAACAAGACGCTGCTGGAGCAAACGATTTGAGAAGTTTATGAAGAATGCTGGATTAAAAAACAGTAGTGCTGAAGTCTGTTCTACTACAAGAGTGATGGGAGACGTGTGTATGTTGTAATTTTTGTGGATGACGGTGTGGTTATTGCAACTGAAATCGAAGAACTCTAGAAATTCATGGAAATGTTATAGCAGGAATTTCACATATATACTCTTTGGAATTTCATACAAGAGGATCTCTCAGGCATTTCTTGGGCATGTGAATACAGAAAAATGAAGATTGACAATTGATCAAGAAGACACACGAAAGGTTTTCGAAAGATTTGGAATGACCGAGTCAAACGGAGTGATTACTCCAATTGAGCGCGAGGACAACGATGAAGGCGAAAAGGTCACAGCCAAGGTTCCTTATTGCAAAACAGTGGGTTCTTTAATGTACCTGACTACAACTACTTTCGCAATTAATAAATCAGTTTGGGCCATGGATAATCCTACCAATAAAGATTGAAATCGAGTTAAACGAATATTTCGATATTTGAAAAGCACCGTAAACTGTCGTCTTCGAGAACGGACAAGGTTTCTGATTACGCTGGTGACGAAGACTAGACGTTCAACGACAAGTGACAATACAACCTTCAGGGATGGAGCAGTCTAGTGTACCAGTCAGTTGCAGAAGTCAGTGGCAACGTCGACTACAGAAGTTGAAATAATAGCAGCAAGTGAAGGATCAAAGAATTTAATCTGGCTTAAAAGATTACTATCTGAATTGCTGGAAACTGTGGAAAAGTCTCCTATTTTCTACATCCATAGTGTTGGTGACGTAAAACTAGCGAAAATTCAAGAATATCATCGCTGATCAAATCATATCAAAGTTCGTCATTTATATGTAAGAGAGAGGTTCTTTGATGGAGATCTGGAATTGGACTAAACCTCTGGAGGGGGTTAGATTTGAGATGCTACGTGAGAGGATCGACATACAGAAGATTGCGTCCACAGAGTATTTAATATAGTTTATTTTGTGTAGTTTGTGTTTATTTGATTTTTTTTCTTTTGGAGGAAGTGTTAATATGAAAAGAGAAATATAGACAGTAACGCCAGTGTACGTTTCTCAGAACCTTTTGAACTAAGTACTGGTCAGAGAGTATATATTTGACTGGTACTGGTTGGGTTGATCTCTCGAGTCAGTGCGTGTTCAGGCTTGGTTTGTTACGAACGTTTATGAATACTTTTACTTTATTATATTCAAAATGAATAATAAAATAACAATTATACAAAGAAATTAATAGTAAATAACAAAAAATGAAAAACCAAAAATACTTTTAGAAACCTGAAACAATTAAGTTATACTAGGTATATTCTTAATTGTTTTCGTTATAATTTACAATTACGAACATTTCCATAAATTTCCAAATTATTTTCTGAAACTTATTATGTCTTCTTATATCTAATACTGAAGATAAATAAAGTACAGCCATAGGTACTGAAATAGAGAACTGAACCCGATCACAATATGGCGCTCCGGTCGGCAACGACTATATAAGACAATCGGAGTCTGGCACAATTGTTTGGTCAGTTACTGCTGCTATATTGACATGTTAGCTAACTACTACAATGGCATGGAAACGAAATGTATGATTGATACATATTAAATGGCATACGGGTTTCACAGAGCACCCGAATGCACTGCCGGGTTGAGCCACAAAAACTTTCTTCTTAAATGAAACCTTTAAAAAGGTGAATTAAAACACGTTGACAATATATAAAGTATATTTCAAGCAATACAACCATGAATCTTACAAATTCGTCTAATAAAACCCCAAATTTTTGCACTTTTCTGACAGCATTTTAAAAATCTTGCAATTTCGTGCAGTACCCCCCCCCCAAAAAAAAAAGCGACATGCGAAATAAAACGAGTAGTAAAATAACGCCCATTTCTAATAAGGTTTCATTCGGTTTCAAGTCAGCAATCCGGTCTTTAATGACAATTTTCATAAATTTTAAAATGTCGATTGTGGAACGGGATGCGTGTCAATCCTGGAAATCGGAGCTTTATTTTTATGGCAGGCGGGACTGCGATTGCCGCGTACGCTGCAGGCAGTTCGTCTACACATTTACCTTTAAGGAGCCTAGAGCCATCGGCCAATGAGGCTAGTATTCGCGAATGAATACTATGCTTCTTTGTTTACATCAGGACCATTCTTAGGCTGAGCAAAGTTTATACTTGAATTTAAACATAACTGCACTTGACGTAAATCAGCTGTTACTGTCATCCAATCGGTACATCCCAGCATACATCGTTATTTTATTCACACTGTAATAAGATCATTAGCACAGTTATCTCTATGTGCATGTCGTTAAATCCCAGTGTCTAAAAGATGAAGTTAGCGTGCATGGAATTTGACGGTTATGGTGTAATTAAATTTGTTGAAAGAAATAGTCGCCCCGACCAGGATACAAACCTGGGCCTTCTGGATTACGCCTAGCTGCTCTGACCATTAAGCTACAAAGACAACCAATTTTCAGAGCGCAAATTATCGTTCCTGGTATTTATAAAATTATCAGCTTTACCGTCACCTCTTTGAAAAATTTAATTATTGAAATGCATTGCTACTTGGTAACAGTCACAATGGTATTTCTTCACGACTGCGGTACATGTTCTCCGACCGTAATTGCGCCCAACATGGTGACGGGAAAGGTGACAATTATATGGGCAGAAAATTTCTCTCTACCTAAATCACTAGTGGGTATTTTACCGGAACTTTTTTGTGTGGGTACAGCTACCCACATTGTTCACCCGGCCTGCAACTGATGTAGTTGATCCCCCCTTCTGTTTTAAGACGGAAACGCATTTGTTCTTTTCAATTGCAATTCCCTGATCAAGAACTTGAACGACAGACGCCATATATGTAGGTACCATACGCCCGATAGCTGAGCGATACCAGCTACGGTTCTCCATCCATTTTCGAAAACAGAGACTTTTGTTTCCTCACCAAGGTTCCAAAACCTTGTAAGGGTATCTTTAGGATCCCTAAGTAAATGTTTGAACAGCATATCTAGGTTCCGAATAAAATGGATATTTCACAAAATACACTTCTGAGAAACGATGGTTCTCAAGCAAAACGTCCTCCAGACACATTTCTCTGCGAGCAAATTTATTCATTGTATCCTTAATAATAGTTTTGAGCCACATCCTTATAGTATATTGTCGACGGTGAGATACTCAAAAAGCAGGAAGTAAGTGAATGAGATGTTGCTTGGGAATCCAACGAACATCATTTTGCCAATAAAATGAACAATACCTTACCATAAATTACATAACGCTTAAGAAGGGGTTTGAGACACAGGGGTAGGGGGTGTTAGCTTAGTTACATATATAACTTTTTTCTTTCTTTCAATATTTGCTGAAATATAATTTTTTTTATTCACCCACATTGTAAAACAAGATAATCAAATTAAGAAAATATAAATAAATTAAAGAAATTATGTACAATAAAGGGAAATATTTATCAAAGATATAGTGAATATATTAGTTATGAAGAAAATATTAGATCTATAGTATATTCTAGAATCCAATTAAATTGGCACTATATCATCTCTCCCAAGCATTGCCCATGGCTCATACTGGTCAGAAATTTGCTCGCCTGAGCATCCCTCCCCCACTAAAAAATTGTTATGTAGTGTCATTATACATCAATTCTAATTTTAATATATAACACAAATGTTTTTTACTGTTAATTGTATACTTTTACTTTAAATGGGGGTGTTGTGACAAGTGCTATGCAATTATTTGGGGGTTTGTTAGAGGGAGTGAGAGGGGGTTCAAAATGCTCCAAATTTGCGTTAAGTAATTTACGGACAGTGTCTCAACATTTTAAAAAAATCATATTAGTATTAACACACTTTTATGACTTTTAGGGTAATATACTGTAAGTTGATTTGATGTTTCAATTTAAAAGCAGCTTTCACTGTTTCAATAGAGTAGTTCAATATAACTAAATGTATTTGAATATCATGCACCTTTCATCATTAATTAATTGTATAGAAATAAGTGACAATGAACTGCAGCAATAAATGAAAATTTTCACACCCTATTTATCCTTGCCAATTAAAAATGTTTTATATACATGAAATGTGTTGTTCCTATTAATTATGTAATAATTCCTATTTTAAAAAAACTGTGTATAACGATAAATTGACATTGGATTGAATTGCTTTGCATATGTTTTTGCTTACTTCGAAGATTTCCAACATTATGAAAACATTCCAATCAGTTTCTTCTTTAATTTTTGAAGTAACTTCTACCCACTGATAATTTTTATGCAGTGATCTATAAAAGTCTGTGAACAATTACACCCTCAGAATTGGCTTTCCCTAAAGTATAAATAATCAGTTGTTACTAATAAAATGATGCAATGGCTGAATAGGAACTGACACATATTTTAGTTTTAGAATAACAGTACGTTAAATTCCAACTAGTTTATAACAATGTAATTAGAAAACGGGACATTTTAATTTAAAAAAAGAAAAAAAAGAAGAAGAAACTGAGGTCTGACAGATAAGGAGTTAAAAAATGCCCCAAGCAATAAATATACACTAGTCATACAAATGTTTATGGTTATGTAACTTTCATATTAATATATTATTTTTTCTTACAAGGGTAATGAATATTTGACTAGATAATTTCATAAGTGTCTGGATAAACAGAGGTGATCTAAACCTTAAATATGGTAAATTAAAGGTATTGTCTGTATTCAAAAATTTATTTTGCTAATGATTGTTTACCATATTTAATTATTAGAAGGTATCTACCCCACCAGCGATCTAATTAATGATCTAAACCTTAATTTTGATAAGATGAAACAAATCAATTTTATTGGGGGTCTATACTTCAAATAAATACTTTTCAGTCCTATAATTAAAATTCCTACTAATTGTATTCCCAGATAATTGATGTGTTAATGACAGTTGTCTCGCAGTAATTCTCAATGAAATTCTTTAATATGTACCTTGCATTATAAAATGTCTAATATTCTTACAATTAGATACAACATAAATAGCAAATATTTACATCCCTAATCATGAAGTCACAACATGCAGAATGCTGGAAATCATTTTTGTCAACTGACAGTTAATGTAATGTCATTAATGTAATAAATTACCCTTAATGATGAACTTCATACAAGATTCATCACTGAAGCATATTGGAAAAGTCATGAAGACTAAGTCTTCTTTTAACCTCTGGTTAGCAACATCTACAGGCAACAGTTCAGGCTAGTTAGAAGATAATTTTCACTAACTTAGGAATTAATTGCAACAATTACCCAGATTTGGACATTACATGCAGTTAAAGCAAAATTATTTCTAAATTAAATGGAATTATCACAACTTTAGAGAAAAAATTAGGTCGCTGCTACAAAAAATATGACCATTTGTAATAAACGTACACAAAAAACGGGCTCGCAGATAATTAAACAATTCAGCCATATTTTTAATGTTAAATTTTTTTTAACTTTGTTCAGCAGCATGTCAAAAATATTAGTGTTTTATATCCTCTGCGGCTACCACAGGTGGAAATTTGAAATGTCTATCACAAACAAATGTAAATTGTAAGTGTAAATTGAAAGAATTGCTGAACCCACAAATCTTGCTAAGTAGTCGTGCTGCATTTAAGTGCCAAATATTGCTGGGATTCATTAACAACAAGTTAGATCTTAATTAATACAAGTGAGATTCAACATATTTTCCATAAATTTTGAAGCTTGCTGATATGGAATTCATAATCAATATTCAATTTCAATAAGACATTCGAGTATTAGGTATATGACAGTTTATTTGTATCTGGTTTCACCAACTAACAAATTAAATTCTGAACCTTTGCCTGTTTGGTATATTGTACATCAGTAGTAAAAATGTTTGAAAACAAATGGGCAGGAAGAGAGCAGTTCTTTAAAAGCACTGAATCTTCCATCTGCCTGCATTGAGGTACACAGAAATTTCTGACACATCCCATGTGCAAGATGAATTTGTTCAATCATTATGTATCAATTAACAGAATTTTAATAATTATGACAATGATCATTCATTAACTACACTGTATCAATTTCTGAGTCCTAAGAAAGGAAAGATACAAATAAAATTGTACACTAAAATTGCACACACACACATACCCCCACCAACCAACATGGAATGTTGTCCCCCCTGCCACATTGGCAGATATAGTCTTGATATATATCAGCATGAAGAGTTTGCATTGCAGGTATCTCGCATTTATTTTAAGATTTCTTGCTACCCATGGTTGCTATGGTAACACTGGGAACAATATTTGGTTTTCTCTAATAAATACATGCTACTATATAACAATGAATAAATTCTTTTTGATAATACTATTAGTACAATGAGTTGCAATGTTCCCTTCTCACAATAAGTCAGACTCATTATTTTCTTATGTACATTTATTTCTGATTTCAGTATTCAGACATATATAAAGCATTTGCACAAGTAAATACCAAATATGAAAGGAATACACGGCAACATAAAGGGTATAGGAAATTTCCTTTTTCTCCGCTATTAAACAAGATCTGGACTAGGAAGAATTTCTTGCAACAGGTATACCTCATGGGAGAGAGCGCATTATGTCTTTAGAATTTTCTTTACATCAGAAATATGAATGAGAAAAGTCAGGAATACTTGAGACGATGTTAAGGAGGGCTTTATCATAATCACAAACCCAAAATCTCAAACTGATTACGTTTGTAAACAGTATTCAGTCTGTGCTTTAACTTTGAGGACTTATAAATCTCACATATAAATACAATATTTTAATTTAACCGTTTGTTTTCGTGATGGTGGTGGAAAGAAGAATAACGTCGGCATAAGCAGTTTACAAAATAATATATGTTTCTTGGCATGTGCTGATTTCTACAGAAGATCTAATCTTTTATTTTTCATTTATTTTTAAAAGGTATATTATATGTACACACACATACACAAACACACGCACACACAACCATTATCCCTCCAGAGGTGTCATAAATTAAAAAGTTACATATAAAAAAAGATAATCTGGGAACTTTTCACAAATCTCTGTAAAAATATAAGTGGGATTGGTAGGTACACATTTGCCAAAGTAACACAGCAGCTCTTATGATTGGTGTGGACAAGAGCGATATGAACAAGATACAGAGCTAATGGTCCACTAATCAACCATAGAACTTCGCATGATTTTCATTAACACAGGAGAAAACAAAGATATACAAACAAATCCAATCTATTTCTCCCAAGGTAAAAATAAATCTTGCTTGTTTGAGGCTATAACAAGCTACGTCAATGTTCACTCAACTACATAAGAGTTCAGCGCATGTAGCTGAAGTGGCACCTTCAGTCTCAGTAATGGCTTCATTGGATCCTATATTCTCACTCACTTTCTTTACAATAAGAGAAGTTGCCTGACAAGGAACACATACTTACTAAGTCCCTGCAGTTCACCTATCATCTTGCATCCAACTCACTTTATGTTTTGTACACAGTTTTAATAACTACATTGTATACCAGTCACACGCATGCACATTTTCTTCACAGCTGCACAAAAAGGACCCTAGCTTCAGTTTACAAATGTGAAATTATCAGAGGACAAGGCAAAAGGCTATACCTTACATTACAACTTAAATGACAACAGCAAAAAGGAATTTGTTCAAATTTGGGGAACATGGCTTTTCAAAAGTAGTAAAACCACATATCAATTGCAATGAATCACTTTATACACATTTTACATTCACTTAATGACCCAATAAGCTATAATTTATGAGTTTACTCATTTTCTACCTATTTCTTTTCTCATTTTTCACGATTTCCTGTAAATGACAGGACAATTATGAAAGAATACAGCACTAGTGATGGTACTTGCATACCAGAATCAATGTTCATTTGTGTACATGAAAGGGAAATGGCTGGAAAAATATACAGAACACAAAGACCAACTAGTACATTTTTAACTAGCAGTCAAGAACTGTTGATGCAAAACCATGAGGAAGGAAAAAACCAGAGTACCTCAAGCAGAATGTTTCAAAATATAAGCAAATGAGGGAGGCAAGGAATAACAAAAGGGCGGAACTGTTGTAATGCTAATAGCATTGGAGAAGTGTGATTAGGCAAAAAGTAAAAAGAAATGTGAGGAAGGGGAAAGACCAAAATCCTGAGGAAGGCAAAGTGTCAGATGACATGGCAAACAACGGCTGTGTTAAGGTTAGTGGCAGTGAATACACACTTGGTGAATTAATTGCAGTGCATGAATTAGTACAGGAGTTGGTTGGAAGAATGGTACTCGTTTTGTTTTGGCAGCAGCAATTATTACCATCATTCAATCGCACAAGTAGTTACCTGTCCCATTCATAATAAATCTCAGTTCTTTTAAATTAAGATACTCTATAGACAAGAGTAAAGTTCATCACAATTCCCAGTTGAGGTGCTTATCGCAATTCATTCACTATGGTAATGTGAAATAAACTTTTCATTTAAAAATCTTCTAGGTTTTTCAGAATAAATTTACTGCAAATAATATGATAAAAAATTTTAGTTACAACAGTTAAAACATCTACAGAAGCATCCTCACCTCAGGCAAACTATGAAATAGCAAGCCCTCACACTCGAATTAACACAACTAAATACCATTCACTACGAAGTGTAACTGTTGCCATGCTCAAGAAGAGATCTAGAGCACTGGAAGAGGACGCGTGAAATAATGGAGGCCACCTGATGGTCCAATATTTGGCTCATTACTAAAGCAAGTAGCCTTTGCTCTTGTTGCAAGAACAACGGTCTGTTATCGGGGTGTCTGGCTAAATGTAGCAAAGTTCCAGCAGCACGACGTAGCATATCTAAACTTGTGCCCATTGAATCAGGATTGTCTCGCAAAGCTCCGATACCATGCTGATTCGCCACACCTAATGCACTTGCCTCAGCCTGCTCAATGAAAGCAACTAATAATGACACACAAGGACTTTGCAATGCAACAGTGCGTGCCACACCACTGTCTGCTGCAGCGAGATAATGCAGTAAATTCACAGCAAATTCACGCAACACTTGCTCTTCACCCCGGCACAGCAGTTTAGTTAAAACCGCACACAACCTTTCTAAACGAGAATATGGAGGTGTAGCAATTACTAGATCGACATTGTTTTCAGTAACACACAATTTGCACAGTGCTTCCAGAGCTAGTCGTTGGGGAGAGAGAGATGATGATACGGTAGGGAATGGGTCTTGACCATGTGCTGCTGGACAAACTGCCCAATGCAATAAGCCATCCAGAACTGGCCGAGATATTTCCTCTGGATACTGACCCAAGTCCATGTGGCCAGCAATGTTTGCTGCTGTAACTAGTGCATTCTCTCTTATATGATGAAGGAAATCCCACCACCATTCACTTTCCCCCTGCAAACTAGAACAGGAATCACCAAAATCTGCATCTTCTTCCCTGTCGTAATTGCGCTGCTTTGCTGTTCGTGCTGGATGTTCATGGTGAAGGAGTAAAAGTTTCCCTAACAGACCAAGGAAAGTAGGGTTCTTAGCAAACTCTACTTCATTTCCAGGAACAAAAGTGAGATTACGCAAAATATTTGAAAGGCACACACATCGCCTAGCTAAAGCGTCCTGTGTGTCTGTCACAAGATAAAGACTGGCTTCATCACGAGTATAACATTCATCTTCATAATCAGACATACGTCTACGTTTTAATGTTCCTGCAGGGTCTCGAATGTTCAGCACAGGTTTTTTGGGCTCTTCTGATGGCAATGGTGATTCACACTTCTTTTCTTCTGTTTTGAGCATTTGGTCCGTGGTAGTTTCAGATGATCCTTCAGCTTCGTCATTAATTTTGTCTGAATCATTGCTGTTATTACTGTTTGTGCCATTTTCAAATGATATACCATTTACTCCATCTTCAACAGAATCCAACACTTTGTCACTTTTACTGCCGCTATCCATGTCCACAACGTTTTGTTCTGTATCGGAAGTGTTTGCCTCATCTTTCTTTATTGTGGGCACTATTTCACTTTTCTCAACCTTTTCTTTGATTTCTCGAGAAAGAAGGTCATTCATTTCAACTGGTTCTTTTTTAATTCGAGAAAGTACTTCACTTAACGTTTTATTAGTCCGTTTTTTCTTGTCACAATTTTTACGATCAGAAGCAGAGTAAACACAATCTTGGCTGTTGGTGTTTTCTTCCTTACTTACAGTAAGTGACTGTTCACTAGCATTATCAGATTCCTGTTCCACTTCTGCTTTCACACTCTTCAGAGACACTGCCTCTTCACAGACAGACAATTCTGTAAACCGATCAGAACTATCTGAAAGGTTTGGCACATCTCCTTTAATATTTAGCAGTCTTTTGTGCGGTAGCACACGAACAAATGGTACGTTGCCAAATTCTCCCTGGAAACATGTAACTATGTATTTTGTGGTGCTATTGTCAGAAGTTGCAAGCTGCCATGGGTCTTGTTCCAGTTCTGCAGTAACATTTTCATCAGCAACATCACCATCCACATCCCATACTTTCCGATTATCCAGAACAAAAATGTCACTTTCCTTATTAACTATTTTCACAGGTTCTCCTTTTCTAGTAAGCAAAGTGTAGTTTGCAGTCGACTGAAGAATACACACACGTTCTTCTGGATCTAAAGGTGTGGTAACAGATCCTAAATCCACATCAGCTGATTCCACTTTCACATGATGATACCATTTATCAGGCTGATCATCTGTATTACTGGAAAATGCAGAAGAGGAGATAGGAGCATCAAACATGTCTGCCAGGGAGCGGCGGAAGTGTTCTAACAACACATCAAGAAGTCCAGGCATATGTGCCAATCCAAAATATGCCACAGTACAGTCGTCAAAGAGAAGTATGTTTAACACATCAAGAGCCCAACAACTTTCAGCAAGAAGTCCAGAACGTAAACTCATCATCAAGCGCCAGGCTTCCACAGGGGAGACATCAGTACGAGTCATACGCTTCCTCTTGTACAATACTGGCATAGTGGCTTCAACACTATCTGGCGGGAACACAATTTCTCGCTTTGGAGTTGACTGAGCTGGATACTGGGATGAAACTGGCATTCCACCAGAATGACCCTGAAACGTAATTACAAATTAATTAAGAACACTAAAAAAAAAAAAATCTATTAAAAACAGTATCCAGTACGTTTTTATACAATAGTAAATAATAATAAAAAAATTCTTATGATTCAATATCATTTATTGGTGCAAATTATATTAGCAGTCAAATTTCCAAAAAACAATCAAACCAATTAATGATTTTTCACTAACCTTTCCTCCAGGTGGTGCTGAAATAGGGAAGGACTTGCCCTCTGGCCTGTAAGGTCCTCTAGGGCCCATTGGTGTCCGTAAAGGTGAGCTCTGGCCTACACCTGGTGTGGCCATGCCTGGTACCCACTGTTGCTGAGACTGCACAAAAGAAACATTTGTAACTTAGTTTAGAGAAATCCTAATCAAAATATTGTGAAAAGTTTCCAATAAAATCAACATATTATGAATGTTATTGAAACAAACTAGTAGTAATTTATTAAATGAATGTAGAAAATAAAAATCTACTGTATAAATTACTTTTCTTTCTCCTATCTTTGTATAAATATCTATTACACTCTTTACTGTCATTTACATATGCTTTTAAGCATCTACCACAGTAAATGAAAATATGTAATTTAATGATTGGAACAAAATGTTATACATTTTTAAGATGAAGAAAAAGTCACGTGAACAGCAGAAATATATATTTCAATCTAATTATGACCACTGAAGTGGAAAGGACCTTTTAGTGCATAATTTCTTGCATAAATTGAAAAGTATACACTTTCAAGCTTTATTGAAATTGCCATCATAAATGCCTTTGCAAAGGCATTGCTAAGGACTTTTACACAATTTAAGCATGAGAAAATGAAAAACAATTCAATTTTTGAGTCGAGTTGAAATGTGATTACTCCCTACCTGTGGAGGCTGTTGGTAAGCTGACTGTCCAGCTGCAGGATAGCGATGTTGATCCCACTGATTAGAAGAACCTTGTGCACCTGGAGGACCTGAAGGTCTTGGAGGCCCCTGGGGCCACTGCTGGGAGCCTTGGGGAACAGGGCCTTGTGGAGGGAACTGGCCTCGGTATTGAGTGTTGTTACCAGACCATCCTATATTACAAAAACACATTAATGTACACAAACACACTTCACTTGGAGTAACATTACAAACCTCAGAACATTGTCACTAATGCCTTTGAATCTTTGGACATGAATCCTTGCCTAGCTACCAGTACACATCAGACCTAAGGAACGTTTTTCACAAATCTTATATCAGCATTGCATACACAAAGAACATATGTTTCTTTTAACTTAGAGTAAGTGAGTTCGGAGCTCACCCGTGTCCAACTATGCATCTATTTTTGCAAATATAGAACACTGTGGCTTATGTACATGGTATATTAATTAATCAATTCATTTAAAAAAAAGTCCAGTGGGTTTCCTCATTTAATGACTATCTGGGAATACAAAAAATTAATTACAGGCCATTCACATAACCAATTATATTCCTTATAAGAGAATTAATGGAATCAACAAAAATATCTATCTTGCCATCACTATTAGCCACAAAATTATTAGATAACTCCATTAATTTGAACAAATTAGATTTACACATGCACCTATCACTGGAAACAGGATTGTAAAAGATTCTAAACGAGTGACAGCCTAACTGAGGGATAAAAAATGACACCAAAAGCCAGCAGGCCAGGGACATACAAAATTCCTTGAATAATTTTAATTAATGTAATAATTTGTTGTAATTCCCTCCTCCTGTCAAGACTGTCGGGCCCAAATCTGCTGTAAAGGTATTCATTCTCAATATCATGAACTGGATAACTTTCACTATTCTGGACTTCTACAAATTTTGCAAAATGCCTCTGACTAGTCTAAAGCAACTTAATGAAACAAATTGTGTCAGGGAACCAAACAACTGCTGCATATTCTAGTTTTCATCTAACAATTGAAAAATAGTGTTTGCAGTGCTGTTATAGAATTAAAAACATGAACAAACAGACCGTTTTTTAGTGATTGCTGGTAGATCCCAACAAAAACTTTAAAGACAAAAAGTACCTGAGATCTGAAGACACACACTTTTGGGCTAATGAACATTTTTGAAGAAAATGTTGGAAAAGGAAAAGGTCATTAAGCCAAGTAAACTGTATCCACATGAGAATTCAATAGGATTACAATTTCAGAAGAATTATTTAAATAGTATGAAACTATTTATGAACTTTCGGCAAACAAAATTCAATCACAAACTTCAAATGGTTTAGGTGAGCACTGTGTCCACCTGGGTTACAATACCTATTGCAATTAATGCCAAATTAAATAAATAAACAATTACATTAAAAAATCTCCCTTGAATTCATTTCAATTATTTTCCAGCATTTGTTCCAAAAACCAAAGGAATTTTAAGTTAATTTTGGTGGAAGCAATGGCCCTAATGGTAGTACAACTGATAGCATTTGTAATAGTAGTATATATAATTATGAATTAATATAATTCCTTTAAAAATTAAGCGTAGTAAGGGAAAGGGTCACTGTGCCTACTAGTGATAAATGTTTATTATAAATATTGCAGCTGTTATTAATTTTAAAACCACGAAACTTCGAAGTCACAACACCCACAACTCATTATCAAGCAACAAACCAAACATACTCCCGTATGCCTGAAGGATTGTTAAAATACTCTTGGCCATAATCCTTAATTTTCAAGTACAGTAGAAATCTAATATTTTCCTGCATTTAATGTTAATTTCTGAAAGTCCTGACTATGCCTATACTCGGTCCGTCCAAGTTCTGATGTGACCCGTTCAATAAAAAATTGAAAAACGGCAATGATATTTTTATTTTTATTAAAAATACTCATTTGATTGAACGGACTGCTTACAATGATTTAAAAATTGTTCAAAGTATTTACTGTAAACATACTTTGGAATTGCATTTAAGACTACTGTCAAACTTTCCTGAGAGTCCCATATAGTGTTGTAATGCCTTCCTTTCATCGCTGTCTTCAATTTTGGAAGCAACCAATAGTCACAGGATGCAAGATCTGGCGAATAAGCAAGATGTTCAAGCACAAAGATGTGTTTCTCAGCCAAACTATCACTTTCTTAGACTTATAAACCGGGGCATTGTCATGCAAAAATGACCATGACACATTGTTCTCAGTATTCAAGCTGAACTCTATTAGTTTTGTCCAAAATCGGTAGAAGACATTTAAATAATATTCTGAGTTTACTGTTTGACATTTCAGAACACACTTTCTGTGAATGGTTTCCATGAAATCGAGAAACCAAATAATGACTTGACCCGACTTTTCTACATGCAAAGTTTTGTCTCCCCCCCCCCCCTCTTTTTTTGGGTTCAATCATTCCATACTTTGTCACTTTGTTTGTGATTCATATTGGAAGCCCCTTGTCTCATTCCCCAGTCACATTTTCTTATAAAATTTGGGTCACTTTCAGCAGTTCCAGTCGTGTCTTAGCATACCCAATTGGAAAAAGAACTCTACGTTGGCTCACTGTTCCACCTCCATTTTCCAATGAGATTCAACACAGTAGTGTTCCTTTCGCACTGTGACACCAGATTTATTCTAAATAATGCTGCGAAATAATGTGTGGCAATAACAATTACAATCTTTATAATGATATCATTTGCAAACAGATAGGGCAGCAGTATAAATTAAAAAAAATATTAGTCGCACCAGCACTGAGATGGACTCAGTATGTATGGAATTATATTTTTGATTTAACATCATTAGCTTCGATACACAACCTACATTTATTAAAAAATTTTTGAATTTTAATTTAATTTTTTCCTCCACAAATCGGGAACAATGCTAAATATGTCATCCGAAGCCATCTGTCACACACTGCATGCAATTGTAATGTACGTCAACCGTTAACTGCTGCAATGCAATCTGCAAGTGGTGGTGTACGTAAGTTGCTGCTCTGAATGAGGTTGTGATATGAGTGTTCTTCATTCATGTACCTGAGTGTGCTAAATTTATAACTTGTATGATAATATTGTGATTATGTATGGGGTCGCGTGCCTGAAAAATATTGCCATGCAAATTTAGCTTTAAGAATACACCTTTTCCTCCCTATAATGCATGTTTGCCCCCTATGATAAAGATCAAGCTTTTTTAAATAATAAAATTGATAATTCCTGGTTAATTTTTTCTGTTTTTTTCAAAGAATACTCCAAATCCTAATTTAACAGAAGAATTTTAGACCCCTCTCTCCAAGGTGACGTTAAATAGGGGCTCTACTATTAATCCAGTGATAAATTGTGCAATTAGTATTTAAGAGTAGAACAATTTTTTACAAACTAAAAAATGCTTCTACTTCATAACTGACACATTGAAAACATACCATACACTGGCTGTCTTTGTTGTCCATATTGTGGATATGGAGCTTGCGGTTGATCTTTAGCAAAATCAGGATGTCTGCGTGGCTGCTGAGCTGGTGGTGGCATGGATTTATTATGTGGTCCAGCAGGATACATCTGACCTCCAGGACCCCCACTTGCTGATTGTTGACCTCCTGGATATACCTGCAAAGGTAACAATTCATTTAAGTTTTATTTAGGAATGTAAACTTTAGATTTTGTGTGCAAGTATGTAAGTATTTTTTCACATTTTGAGGACACTTTGAAAGACATTTATTGTGGCCTGCAAAATATTTTTAGTCAAAAGTTAAAGTCCCTTGCATCTATTTCAAGCGACAATATAGTGTGCCTAGTGCATGCACCCTGTCAGAGTCAACATCCCCTTAATATAAAAATAGGTTGAGATAAAGATTTAACAATTTTTTCTAGTAAATTCAAAATCATCCCAATGGGTTTCACAGTGTTATGCACGGTACAGCCTGATATTAACAATACACGAAAGTCAGGTGTGGATAATCCCCTATATTGTAAATATGGCCCACAAATGTGTTAAAGGTTTTAATTGTGGCCCTTGAGGCCTTGCAAGTTGAACACCCATGCAATAAATATAATTCTGAAACAACTTATATCCGAAAATATACGTGTCCATGGCTGGAGCCAAGGCAAGGAAATGACAAACTTTACATTTTCTGATACGTTTTCCCCGGCTTATGACGTTGAAAATAGTCTATCCTTTGAAAAATGACATGAAGAGAATCCACTGTGCAATATATGAAATAAAATAAAACAAAAACAACAAACATTTAATTATAAATGGAATGTGCGTCTTATTAGCATTGTCAATTGCTCCGTTATTAGCAGTTTAGCATTAGAGAAAATGATGTCTAGTAACAATATTTTTAATTCTTAATATCTTCTTGATAGCGTAGTGATCGTCAGTGCTCATCTTGAAATGTCAACATGCTAGGTAATTGAAAAGAACATAAGAACTCAAAATATTGATACTAAGACATATTTTTCTCAAACAAGCTCTATTATTTATATTTAAGTGTTCCTTCCCTTTTGAGGTTGAATGTATTGCCAGATGGTATGGAACAACTGCTTTCTTTCATGAAGTGGTAGTGTGGTTTCATAAAGGGAGGTACAGGCAACGTGGAAAGAAACTTCTTTCAATGCCCAGCGTTTGCTGTGACTGGGTAAATCTAGCCAACTTCTGCTTTGGTCAGACTACACATGTCTATTTTACAATACTTTTATATAAATTGTCAATGAAAACAGGATTTCTCCCTTAAAAACATTGGTCATATGTGAACACTTACCTGATCTGGACGATAATAGTCTTGCTGACCAGGATATGCAGCAGGAGGCTGCTGTTGGTTGTTAGGTCCTGATGGCGGAGCTGGGGGCCCACCATAACCTGCACGTGCAGGATATACAGGAGGCTGAGATGGGGGCATGTAACGGTATGGGTCCTGTGTACCAGTCTGTTGCATTCCTGTCGATGGCTGACTGGTAGAACCACCCTGATTGTAGTTTCTGTATTAAAAAAAAGGGATACCGTTTTTAAACATTTGCAGTTACATCAATTTTGAAGTAGCAAGATTTCATCAAAATTCCTGGAAATAGTACAGTGATATGCAAATTATGACTATAAAATTTACTGAATGCATAACAATATTTTTCATAATAGTACTCCTAGAATTTACTGAATTTTCTATATTGAGCCCCAAATTATATACACTGAAAAATAACCATCCATTCGAGCAGAAAATTATGATAAAAACAACTGTTTATTTAAATTTATTATAAGCAGTGGCAGATGTTTCTATTTTACTACCACTACAACAGCAAACTATTCAGGTATGTTATGTTTATGCATGACAAAGTGCTCAGTAGTTTTTAATTTGAAAAACAAGCCCCTCTCCTCCAATATTGGTATCATGAAGACATTGATTAACGACACATATGACACAAAAAACTCCACATATATGTGTGGTGTATGTTTTTCCCTTGGCAGGCGGTGGTGATCTTTGCCCCTGGATGGCGAGCCAATCAGGTATCTTCCATCAGCAGATCACCGCCCCAGCTGGGAGAGCTCTAATCCCCTGCCTGGTCTCTCAGCATGTGTGGTAGTGTAGTGCATGTTAGTTTAAGTGAGTCTCAGTAAGGGGTGAGGATAGAACAAGGAAGAAAAAGGGAAGATAGTGTGTGGTCCGTTTGTTAGGGCACTCCCCTGGCATTCGCCTGGTGTTGACCAGAGAAACCATAGAAAACTACTGATCAGAGCAGCCGGCAAGTAAATTTCTCCCCAAACAGCAACCGAATTCAACCTAGCTGACAAGCTAGTGTCAAAAAAAGGATACATCAAAATACTTAATGTCATGCTATTCAGTGCATCCAGAACTACCTGTACAAAAAGAAGAAAAAATTTGGAACAGTTTTTGAGAAAATTGAGAGTTTGTGAAAATATGGAATTTTGAGCTTAATTTCACAGAAAACTGAAGAGTTTTTGAGAAACTTGACACAGGCATCATTTAAAGCACGTGAACTTGTATTTGCAATAATTTGAACAAATCACCACTAATGTAGATATTAACTATGTTTTTTATTTGATACTAACAAAATATTTATTAGAGGCTAGTCAAAAATAAATTGTTCTAAAAACAAAAGAATAGCACTATCCCTACCAAATGGGAAATTTCCAAAACCTTTCTTAAGATGGAGATAAACAGGATGAAGAGCAAGGCTATGATATATCATCAACCAATGAACAATCTAATCAGCAATTATTGAACATTGCCAACTGAGCATGTTCTGTCAAAACTATGTACAGCAAAATCTGTAAGCCAGAATCAATCAGGACACAAAAAATTTCTGGTTTAGGGAAGTTTCCCTTTAATGCAAAAGTTGTCCATTTTATGACACTTGTGATATTGAAGTTTCTACCCTGAAAGTAGTAAATTATATGACTTTATTATAATTACTAAAATACATTAACATATTAAATAATTATGAAAGATCACCAATAAATGACTATTAAACCCTCTTCAATGACAGCTTCTTAGATAAAAAATATACACCTTACTGGCTGTATTCAGACAGGTTGTTGACAAACTTTTTCAATGCATAACACTTCACAACCTTGTACTAAGTCTCAATGTACAGCTGCCATGACAATCTCTTGACTCAAGGACAGAGAATTTAAAACAAGCCAGCAGATGCATTCATTTCATGAAGAAAATCTTGTGTCTCTCTGCTAATTAAATTCATAGAAATTCAGTTTTATAAGATCCCACCACCTCTGCAGGACATGGAAACCATCCCTTTTTATGCTCTGTTAAGTGCCATTTAACTTCAGGGGCCAGATAAATTTTCTGGTAAAGGTAGGTTTCTGACTTGTACAAGTTCCAGTTTAGATAGATTTGACTATTTTTATTTTTGAAGTAATATTATTTCAATTTTCAGTAGTACTACTGATTGTTTACTTTTGCTGAATCTACTTATATTTGAAGTTCCCAACTTTAACACCAGAAGATCACAAATTTTTGCTCAGAATTTTTATAAACATTTACACACAGTTAACAACCCTATTAACAGAATAAGTATAACTCTTAATAAATCTAATATAATTTTTTTATTTTTCTAAGGATACAGCTTTCAGCATGATGTGAAGGATAAACTTTGTATCAGTTACATGTGTCTTTAACCCCTTGCTAACATGCAACCCTACAGGTTCATTAAGTGCACTTGTACCCACCCGTATGTTAAGAAATTTAATATCTTTAGCAATGGGTTTTAACATCCTTAGCAATGTAAATACACAACCATCGATTCATTGCAAGTAAAAAGTTTTTAAGAAAAAATCATGGTGTTGAAATATATAAATAATAATAATAAACAAAAATACAACACACATTTTTCTGTGTATCTGGAATTTATAATTTATTAATACTTATTTCCAACAGCAAATATAAAATAGATGTACATATCCGGAGCATATTTGTTGCGAAACTACAACAAGCAGTTTGTTATTAAATCAACCTGAATTATTTATTTTTCTTACCTTTTATTACATGGCAAGCTTATTTCACTTTTAAACAACTTACAAAGAAATCACGGTTCTTGTCAATACAATTTTCTTTTGATGCCCAAAAAGCAGGTGCTTTCCTTCTCTACGAGCTCATGGCTACTGTGACCTACTCTTCTCCTCTGGGTGTCATTAGTTGAAGGGAATAAGTGTACTTCATGACAGTTTACCTGCTTGAAACTGCCAACCGCTATCCGACCAGGGCAAAGTTGCCAATGCAATTTGCTCTCCTTTCTGTGGTTGCATTTGAAACTGATCACCAGATGTGTGTGTTGTGTGTTTGTGAGTAACAATGTGTGAGAGCGAGCATGTGATTTTTCAATACCCTTATTATTCTATGAAATTTCCACACTTGTTTTGCCCTAATTTGGGAATTTTATTTCTTCAGTAGGTTTAGGCATCAGAAACTAAACATATAAGCAAGTTCAGAAATCCAACATGCTAAAATGTCAATTAATCTGAGATCACACGAGATGTTTTTATCTCATAGCTGGGGTGTATTCAATACTTGTGTTGGTTTAGAACCTTCTGGTCCTGAGCTTATACTTGGGTTTTTATTTCTTGGCGTGTGAGAGCCTATCTTCATGATAGAATATCTCACTGCGTTTCGAGTCTTTCTTGGTCGTACCGCTTGACGTTGCATGATCACGGCTGTATCGAGCATGACGATCATGAGATGTCTAGCGATGCGACCAAGAAAGACACGAAATGCCATGTGATATTCTATCGCGAAGACAGGCCCTCACTTGCCAAGGAATAAAACCCCAGTATATGTACTGTATGGCTGAGGCTAAGTTGAAGGGAGAGACTGTAATAAAGGAAACAATGGTCGCTCTACATTGAAGTTGATGGGACTTGTACAACTAAGGTCTAACAGTTTAGCTAATTCTTTGAGGAATAGAAAAATCTAATAAAATTGGCAGTTTGTGCCTTGGAGCACTGGAATTCAGATTTCATTGCTATTTTCTTAACTATTTCTTCACATGCTACATCTGGTTGATAAACGTTTCCTGCACCAGAATCATCTTTCATTGTTCCATGAACTGCAACAATGAGTTCATAAGTCAGCCAGGAAGACTATTCATGTCCCTTTTAATTTAGTCACCTCTTTCTTAATCGATGAACAAAGCAACTTCAGGAGGTATCAAACGAAAATAATTGTCTGATAATGCTCATTAATCATTTATAATCTCTCATACACTTCTATTTCACGAATGATAAAAATAAAATGCGTAAGAATATGTGCCACCCTAAATCACACCCTAGCATTGATTCTATAAAAAACAAGCTCAACTCCTGGTGTCACCTAGAGGTGATACCCTAGATTTACGGCCTGTAAAATATATGTCATCCACAATTAATTATCAAAAGACATTGAAGAATTAATTATTTGCAGTAAACAAGTTATTGTCTATTTGTACTTCCTTTACCTTCCAAGAGCGGAAGTGCATAATGCACCAAAATTACTGCAAGACATAATGAATAAATAAAAACTATTCCCTAGCAGCATTTTCTCCATTTCAGTACGATCAAGAAAGGCCAAAACACGAGTTTTGTGATACCAATTTTCATTAATTTGGAAACGACTATTTATAGAAAATGATTAAAGATGTGTCACCTGTAGGTGATTCCCGAGTGAACGGCATCACAAATCAAAAAAATCGGTAATTGGAAGTAAAAAATTAACTAGCATCATTTTCAAATGTAATCATGACAAATCATTTGAAACTCAGAACTATAAACGCTACTTTTTATTTACACCATATATACATGATACAAATATACAGATCTAAAATTTTCCTTTCAGTTTAAACTATCGCTTATAAACAAAAAGTGCTGAATAAGGTTTTCATTGGCAAAGATTGGCGAGAATGAACTGTGACAGAATGAAAAAGGAACTAAAATTAACACTGGAATGATCCTGACTGGAAGGATATCCAATAATCAGTACATTAGTAAATGAAAATTAATTTTTGCAATATATTAGAAAGCACACTAACAATTGTACATTTTTTAAACAAAAACAATTGTGTTAGTACTAGATTGCATTTGCATTCTTCTGTAAATACGCTTGAAGAAATGTTTTTAAATGAGTTCATAACATGTCTCAATATCTGGTTTAAATGTTTACTTAGAGCAACCAAGAAGCCAAACTGCCTATTTAAACAAAAATTTCTAAATTGCCAACCACAATATTTACATCAGAATCATCTTAAAAAATATTTATTCCAATTACTGTATTAATAAAATATTCATAAAAAAATATAGCATTTAGCATTTCCTCATAAACACTGATAAAAAAAATCATTATGTGTAAACAGTCTAAAAATTAGCAGTTAAAATTCATTTATGCTTTCATCTTCAACAATGAAGAATTTTTTGTGAGTAACTGTAGTTTTGAAAATTTAACTATTCGCTAAGGCAATTTGGTAGCATCTTCATAATTTGCAAATAATTTTCACCACATGAATGAAAGAAGAAAATACACACTTACCTATCAGCATCAGGACCGTATGGAGGGTACATTCCTCGATTTGTTGAGTATGAACTAGATGGAGAATACTGCTGATTAAAATCTTGCCCTAAAGAGCTTGGTGCACTTCGCCCATATTGATCTTGAGGATACTGTGAATATCCTCCTTGACCTTGATAACCTTGTTGCATTCCTGTTAACAAAGGTAATAAATCGCTGTATAAAAAACAACAACTGATGTACTTAAAAGAACTATTAATAAATATTGCTTCAAGAAGATTACTTGCACTTCTTCCCACATCCAAATGAGATCAGGAGCAATAAGATATGATGTTAATAAGTTGTGAGAAACTGTGCCAATGTCGAGGAGAGAGAAATGATTAAATTCAGATTATACACACAACACAGAATATCACCCATGTACACACATCATTGAAACTTTCAAAGCTTTATAAGAGTTTGAGAAGAATACATATTTAAATTACTTTCCATATATATGTAAAGAGTACCACAAAAAGGATGTATTTTTGGGAATGAGGAGTAACGTGCCATAACCCAAAGAGAAAGTGTTTCTTTCTTGGCATTAAATTTCTTAAGTGGGCCTTTGCTTCATTCTTTAATAACCCAAAATTCTTCTAAATCAGGAAAGGAAAAAAACCCAGGGGAAATAACACTGCCATGAGTTGATTTTAAAACATATACCATTCCCATACCACATTTTATACCACTCCCATTAGCATTCTAAAAGAATGCTCTTGAAGTGATAGAAGCACAATGGATTGTCACAGGCAGACATTTAAACGGTAATGCATGATTCCAGTGTCTTATCACATTGCTCTAAGAAATATGTTATACGTTAAGGTACAAAAGAGTGATGATATATCTAATTAACACACACTAATCCTACTTGCAATACTTTTACCAAATGAAAGGTTTTCAGAGAAAAATGATCTGTAGTTATATGTGTACGTAAAAGACAAATATTTAAATAATCTAACAATGCATAACATTCAACTGTAGAATATAAGGGTTTGGGTACTGCAAATTCACAAATTTTTTACTATTGAACATAATTTGAAAACAAGTATGTCTGCAAGCTGAAACAATTTTTCATTGGGCATTATTCACCACAGCCTACAATTATCATACAGAAAGAACCTCAAGATAGTTTCCAACATGCATTTTCAAAATGATGGAAATTGTCGTCACACACAAGTCAAATTTGTCTACTTATACTGCTTCAATTCCTCATGATGAAATGTATATGCACACACATGCACTAAACCAATGATGAACCCATCCAGACATTTGGAAAGATATTCAAGGCAAGGGGTGTTAGTCATATTTAAGTAACAGATTTCATCAACTTTGAACTATAAAATTTTTTCAAACATTTTGCTCATTTAAAATATCCTTTCTAAACCTTAAAATTGGTCCTCGCATAAAAAATATTTTTGAGAGCTCTTAAGTAAAAGGGAGCAAATGATAGAGCGAGGTAGGGAAGAAGAAGAAGAAGAAGAAAAGAAAAGAAAAAGAAAGAAAGAAAGAAAGAAAGAAAGAAAGAAAGAAGAAGAAGAAGTCTGCCAAAATTTTCTAGCATCACTGTAGAAACGATACAGAGATCATATGACACCTCAAAATAAATGCACCCTGGTTCAATTTAAATATAATTTATAATTTTACATCACTGGCAGCAAACCATTTAAAGGTAGATTTTTAAAAGGATTGATTTTTCCTAAATCAAAATAAGAGTTGGATACCTTATTTCTTTAAAAGCTATAAAATTCCAAGTTACTCCAATTTTGAGGAGAGAGTTATCTTTGACAAATGTTACTAATAGCATTTTCTATATTGTAAGTTGAAATGAACATAATTTTAAACAATTCTTGAAATAATTTTATTACTTCTAATGGATATTCATTCAAAAAATGTAGGACTTAAAATTTAAAACTAGTATAAATCTTAAATTTAAACATTACACTTCTCTTTTAATGGATTATGATTGAGATTTGGTGTGCCATCAATAACTGGTATAACAAATTAAATCTTCAATACTGCCTGCTATAGCTTCATTCCTCACACAAACATTAGAAAGCATTTTATATACATGTATAAATTAAATGCAGGAAAAATATTAGCAAGAGGTAAACCAGCAAGTAAGAAAAGATCCACAATACAAATACCACAAGAAGTATGTTCTCAGTGACCATAATGTCAATTATGTTTTAACATTTAATCATTACAATTTCCCTTAACAAAATTGATACATATCATACGCCCCACAAAAATTAGTATGGAAAAACAAACTAAACAGAACCATAACAATTTATGCTCTAGATGAATTGCAATAAAAAATCCAGAATTATAATTTAAGTTTATTGTATGAGGTTCATCCACTGGAGCTATATTTCAATACATTCATGATTTATATTCATAAATATTATTCCATATTCACGAACTACACAATGTGTGCATTCAAAATTCAACATAATTACAAGTTTTAAGTGTGTTCGCGTTACAAAAAATTGTAAATAAAATTAAAAAATGTGGTAAAATATATCAAGAATTAATTCCTTCTATTTTCACCACATTAATACTACACAGGTACCAGTTTGCAAGTCATCAAAGAACATGAATAATTTTTCTTATCTCATCATGCTGGATAAATGTAAAATTTAATTTAACTTTTTAGATATTCTATCTCAAACCAAACAGAAAAAAATTCTCTTGACAAAATTATTATGGATAACATACCGCTCAAAAATGAATAAGGAAAAATAACCAACTGGGGATTCTATTTCTGCCCTAGAAAATAAATTGAATATTGTAATCATATATCTCGTATTACAATTGAAGTAATACACACCCTCTAAAATATATTTACTTGCTGTGACACTAATTTTTTGCCTAAGGATAAACACGTTTGCTTTGAATATTTGGGGGGAAAATTTGAATTTCCTTCTTCCACCGTTTTGGAAACTTTTTATGAGCATAACATCTTGTTTTGTACACATTTTACTGACAGATCAAAACTGAACCTCTGAATTCTTACTCAAAATGGAACTGATAAAAAGCACTGTGAATGGAATTTCTTCTTTCTTGCTTCCAGCAGAAGTCATGTACGACTAAATATACTAAAAATGTTCAAACACTCCTAGTTAAGTTCAATGGTCAGGCTGAAGACAGTTTCAAGATACTGATTAGTTATTCCTTTACATTAGAGAAACATCCTAGCAAGCATTCTTGTTAAGAAAACTATCTAGTATACTTCATTTCACACGAGTGGAATTTTTCGAGTAGAACATTTCACATGAGTTTGTGGAATAATAGGACAAATAATCTCTCGGTTCTCAACAGATATTATTTGTCAATATCTCATTACACCACAACAGACAACACAGTCTCCAATACAAGGTTGAAGAATTTGATAAATTCTAAGAATGTTCAAGACATAAAGTATTTTCAATTAATTGACCTACAAGATAAGGTGTACAATTGCCTGTCAAAAAACACAAATAACCAAAATTACGCAGAAATGAATGTCAACCACGAAATTTCTGGAGGGCATTAAAGAAATCCTCATGAAAATCCAGCACAGATACACACACACACACACACACCATTTGACAGGAATCATAGCAACACTAAAAAAACAATTTTTTTGCAGATCAATTTTATCTCCAGGTTATGAATTTTGTTGTGAAACATATTTTGTTTCTGGTTTTGAACCTCCCCTTTTGGTCACAAAATACTAAGCAGATATTATGCAAAACAAATAAGAGGCCATTGCGCAACCTTTGAGAAGTGTCCTTGCATCATATTTCCCACGAGACATTTAACAAAATGTGTTCTCAGTAATGGAACCAAGGAGAGTAAGTGAGGGAGAAAGAGAAATGCTGAGGTTAGGAGTAAATCAGTGTGTGTGTGTGTGTGAAGAATATGAGTAAAGAGGGTGTGAGAAAATATGAGTAAATGTTTGTGGATGTGAGGGTATTTTTATTCGCATTTTTAATTTCAGAACAATATAAAAATTATTTCATACAAATAACACGACGTGGTCGTCGTCGAATTCGTGGTGGTGGTGGGGGTCGTCGTCGAATTCGTGCGGGCGGTGGTCGTCGAATTCGTGCGGGTGGTGGTCGACGTAGTATTGGTGATCGAGGAAGTCGTGATGGTGATGAGGACGTCGTGGTGACGAGGACGTGGCGTTGGCGGCGGTCGTCGTGGCGCTGGCGATTGATTTGACACTGGCGGTCGTTGTGGCGCTGGCTGACGAGGCGTTGGCGGTCGCCGACGTGATTGTCACTGACGTTATGGTGTTGGTGTACATGGTTGCTGTCGCGATGGTGATTGTGTCGTAATGATGGGGGAGTTAGTTATGGTGGTCGCGGTGGTAGAGGGAATTAGTGTTCATCATGCTAGTAGTGGTGGTGTTAGTGCGAGAAGTGGTGGTTGTGGTTGTGGTGGTGGTGTTAGTGCGAGAAGTGGTGATTGTGGCGGTGCGAATAATGGTGGCGGTAGTCGCGGCAGTGACAGTAGCAGAAATTGTGGTGATAGTCGTAAAGGAGTGATGACGGTAATGGTCGTAATTATGGCAACTGTAGTACTAGACACAGTGATCGCTATTGGTAGAAGTCGCAGTGGTATCGGTAGTAATCGTAGTCGGGGTGTTGGGGTAATTGTGTTGGTATTGCGGTGGAGATAATACTCGCAGTGGCATCGGTTGAGGAAATACTAAGATCCTTTCAGCCGTGACTTTACTCAGCATGTGAAATTACATCCCTCCGCTCTGTAGTTTGAAAGTACGGTCATACTCAAATGTCAACCCGTGTCATCTATACTATTTTCATTTTTATTTCTTAAATAAGTCCAAAATACTAGCACAACATGCAGATTATTTGATTAATTACCAGAGAACATTTACGATGTGCCCTCACAAGGCAGCGGCGAAATATTTCAAAAGAATATATAGAGATGGTCTTTTAAAATTAGGCGAGCCCAAATCATATTAGGAATTTTATTTAATTGCTGTTCGACCCTACCCTCAAAATTGTGTACATGATTGCGACTCACAGTTAAATTCATTGCATTCTCCCTTGACAGGTTTTAGACAAATTCTCTTCTTACAAGGAGTAGTTACTTTTCTATTGACCCATACTTCACTAGACACTACCAACCAGACATTGTAACCTGTCAATTCAGCATATTTTCCACATATCAAAGTCATTGGCGATGTTTAACCGCTATTGTTTCAAAATCATGCAAAACCACTTTGCACTCACAATTTCTGAGGGATTTTCACTTCGAATCATTCAAACCTGACGTACCGGACACTGCTTCAATTCCAGTGTCCGTCGGGGTAATATAAGTATAGTTAACTTCACGCAAACCTAACACTGCATTTTACTACCGAGACATACAGCAAACACTTGTAAGGTTTCCTCAGCCTTAGAATAATTATAATGTAAAATGCACGTGCTTGGTATAGCCTCTTATTGAATACTTGGATTTGCGGGTGTGTCGATGTCATATTTTGCTTCTGATAATCCTTTGTCAATATTACACATATTCTTATTTAAATACAATATTGAAAATACAAGGGGTTTAGAGAAAGAAAAATGTCATGGAATCCAGAACAAAGTTACTGGACACTGTGAATAGGTCCATTGTTCTGAAATACGTCGAAGGTCTAGTAATGGACGCGAAGAAACAGCTCAATCGGGGCTGATTCTTAATAGAAGTTCCGAACGCAGCGTTCGTTGGGCTCCATGTGCACTAGAGTCGTCGGTTCTCTTTGCTTAGTGCAGGATCGGCATAGAATCTTTTAATGGTTTTATTTCATGTGCAAACACATTGTATTATGACGGATTCTGTGGCATGGCCATCTACAAAACATCAAAGATGTGACCCATGAACACGGGTTGAAATAAACTTTAGTTTTAAGTATTTTCGCGTGTAGCTAAAAAAATGGTCCACTGGTCGTAAAACAGATTGCCTAAAGCACATCACAGACCATCGGAATGTCCTTTCCCTCACGTATAATGAATGCACTCAGATGTGAGTACAGACAAAAACTTATACCAGAGAAAGAAATAATTTGGGTGTTAAACCGTTTCCGGGCGAGTCTACAATGAGTAAGAGAGACAATTGTAATGTGGGATGCGTGTGCTAATGCTGGAAATCGAAGATTTATTCTTATCGCAGGCGGGACTGCTGCTGCCACATACGTTTCTGACAGTTCGTGTACCATTATGGATCCTGGATTAATTTGCCAATGAGTTTAGTGGTCGCCGGATGAATACTATGCTTATGGAAATCAATTTTCTATTAACAAGGAAAATTATTTTGGCCATACACGAGACGAACAGGTCCTTGAATGAGCTACTGCTGCTAATAATGCATTTATTAATATTTCTGCAAAGCGACGTTTCGAGACTCAATTTGCCCCATCAGGTTAGAAACAACACATTGTAAATTCTATACCTTATGTATAAAACACCAATATTATTGCAATCATTTATTGAAGAAACTGATCCTCTCATGAATACTATGCTACTTTGTTTACATCAGGATCATTACAAGGCTTGTAGTCACAGGTTAGTAGTTGTTGGTGTCATGGTACTAATAGTTCTAGTGGCGTGAGGACAAATAATTGTAGCGCAGGGTAGATGGAGATCATGTGATGCTATTACCTGTAGTGGAACTATTATAGTAATGGGTATAGTACTCGTGGAGTTGGTGACAAGAGAGAGAACGGGTGAATGAGATATGTGGGTACGTCGTGACACGCGTGTAGGGTGTGTGTGTGGGAGCAGGTAAGTCGTGGTGGTGGTGAGTGGAAAGTGGTGGTGGTGGAGGTGCATGATCGGTGAGGGTGGTGGAGTGGGTACGGTGTGGGGAGGTGTTGATGTGTGGTGGAGGTGGTGGGTGGTGGTGGTGGAGGTGGTGGGGTGGTGGAGGTGGGGGCGTGTGGAGGTGGATCGTGGTGAGGTGGTCTGGTGGAGGTGGTCGTTGGGTGGAGGTGGTCGTGGTGTGGAGGTGTGGTCGTGGTTGGAGGTGGTCGTGGTGGACGGTGGTCCGTTGAGAGTGGTCGTAGTGCGGTTGGAGGTGGTACGTGTGGAGGTGGGTCGTGAGGAGGGTGGTCGTGGTGGAGGTGGTTCGTGGTGAGTGTATCGTGGGTGGTGGTGTTGGCCGTGGTAGTGTGGTAGTCGTAAGCGCGTGGTGGTGGCGAGGCGGTAGTCTGGGTATGGCGGTTAGTCGTGTGGGTCGTGTAAGTATAGTCGTGTGCAGGTGGTAGTAGTAGTCGTGGTGGCGGGCGGCGCGCCTGGTGTAGTAGTCGTGGCGGTGTGTGGTAGTAGTCGTGGTGGCGTGGTCCGTAGTAGTCGTGGTGGCGGTGGTACGGTAGTAGTCGTGGTGGCGCGTTGGTGGTGTAGTCGTGGGTGGGCGGTGCTGGTAGTAGTGGCGTGGTGGCGCGGTGTAGTAGTCGTGCGTGGCGTGTGGTGGTAGTACGTGGTGGCGGTGGTTGGTACGTAGTGGTGGTGGTGGTAGTAGTGGTGGTGGTTGTAGTGGTGGTTAGTAGTGGTCGGTGGTAGTAGTGGTGGTAGTAGGTAGTAGGGGGTGGTAGTTAGTAGTGGCTGGATGGTAAGTAGTAGTGGTGGTGGTAAGTAGTAGTGGTGGTATAGTATGGTGGTAAGTAGTAAGTGTGCGTTGTAGATTTTATGGGGTGGTAGGAGTAGGTGGTATAGAGTAGGTGGTAGTTAGTAGTGCGTCGGTGGTAAGTGTAGTGGTGGTGGTAAAGTAGTAGTGGGTGTAGTGCTGTGGTGCGTAGTATAGTGGTGGTGTAGTAGTAGTGGTGGTGGTAGTAGTAGTGGTGGTGGTAGTAGTAGTGGTGGTGAGTAGTAAGTGGTGGTCGGTAGTAGTAGTGGTGGGTCTAGTAGTAGTGGTGGTGTAGTAGTTGTGGGGTGGGTGTGAGTACGTGTGGTGGTGGTGTAAGTGTGGTGGTAGTAGTGGTGGTAAGGTCAGTGTGTGGTGGTAGTCTGGATGGTGGTGGTAGTCAGTGGTAGTGGTAGGTAGCTGGTATGTGGTTGGTGTTAGTGTGGTGGTGGGTGCGAGTGTAGTGGTCGTTGGTGTGTAGTGGGTGTAGTAGGTGCGATGTGGTAGTCGGTGGTAGAGTAGTCGTGGTGGTGAGTGGCTGGTGTAGTCAGTTGGTGTGGTGCGTGTAGTGTTGGTGGTGTCGAGATGGTAGTCGTGCGTAGAGTAGTGGTGTGTAGTCGTGGTGGTGGTAGTGTGTGTCGTGTTGTGGTCGTAGTGTAGGTGTATGGTCGGCTGGTATGTAGTGGTGGTGGTGTGTCGTGGTGTGGTGGTAGTAGTCAGTGGTGGGTGCTTAGTTAGTCCGGTGGTAGTCTGTGTGGTGGTGTAGTGGTGGTGGTGGTAGTGTGGGTGCGTGGTAGTGTGGTGGTAGTTGGTGCGTGGTGGTGTAGTCGTGGTGGTTGTAGTGGTGGTGGTGAGGTGGAGTCGTGGTGGTGGTGTGTGGTAGGTGGTAGTGGTAGTGGTGGTAGTTCTAGTCGTGTAGGAGTGGTAGTAGTAGTGTGGTTAGTAGTGTGCGTTGGGTACTAGTAGTGGTTGTGTGTAGTATGGTAGTACGTGTGGTGTAGTAGTAGTGGTGGTGGTAGTAGTATGTGTGTAGTAGTAGTGGTGGTGTTAAGTAGTTGGTAGGTAGTAGTAGTAGGTGGTGTGTGTGGTGGAGTAGTAGTGTGTTGGTTAGTAGGGTGGTGTAGTAGTGGTGGTGTAGTAGTGCTGGTGGTAGTAAGTGGGGTCGGTAGTAGTTTGGTTGGGTGGGAGTAGTAGTGGTGGTGGTAGTAGTAGAAGATTAGAATACAAGATTTTCTGTAGAAAAATTGTCGTTTTCCAACACATTTCATATATTCGTCTATACAATGTATTATGATTCCTTATACTTATATACATATACAAGAAAGTAAAAAGGGTTAAACAAACCATGGATCAACAGAAATTATGAAATAATCTAGGATGAAATGAGCAAGAACAAAATATAAAAGAACTGAAAAGGATGAGGATCATTTTGCTTACCATATGATCAAGAATGATCTTGCAGCATAGGTGAGATGACAAAAGGAAAAATATAAGGACATTATTCAGGAAGGGAATGAACACATTCACTCCCACATTTATAACCAGACTACAGGTGAAATCAGCACACCTTCAAGCATAAAGGTGAGAGCTGAACAAGTGAACGAACACTCGAGGATTGCTAAAGCATATGCAGACTACTTTCAAGAGGTATTATAAGCAACAGAACCAGATGGAGTA